CTCATGGTAGGAACATGTTACCCACAACCTCTGGTCATGACATATCAAGTGGTATATGTGCATGTTACCTCCACCCTCTGGTTTTGGTATTTCTTGAGTTGAGTCTCAAACATTTGTGTTTGACATGTCCATTTCCTGGTGCCCTGTTTATTGACCCTCATTAGTGTCAAGTCGAATAGTGGAGCCATGTTGCCCTCACATTTGCCAATCATTATATAATATTCATATTGTTTGATGGTTTGTTTACCAGTCAGTAAATAAATATTGATTTTGTTTATTGGTGAGTACATTTTATTTGTCATTGTTTACTGTTAGGGCCGTATTGGCATCTACACAGACAGACCAGACGAGGCTTTAGTTGTCCATGGCAACATACGAGTCACAGGTCACGTGGTGCAGCCTTCTGATGCAAGGGCAAAAGAGAACATTGAGGAGGTGAGGGGAACGTGATTTAATCAGTTTCTAGAGCTGTGCAAGGCTTATACAAGGCCAGCGTCAATGTTACATAGTTGCTTTGGTTACTACCCCCTAGAGCACATTGTTTTGCCCATCATGGGGGGGATAGACCTTTACCATGATGCTGCCATGTTTGTCTTGTACCCTGTAGCCCCTTTGGCAATAGTAATACAACTTCACACATTGGTAAATGGGAACAGACTATTTTTCCTTCCAACCTCAGGTTGGTTACATTGCGTTAATGGTAGAAAAGCAAGATGGCTGCCTCCACGATAGAGGTCTATTGTTCTGTCTTCCTGTTTCCTGTCTCAACCATGATTGTACTGGAACTTGATACAAGTGCAGACACGTTGGTGCGCTATGCATCCTTAAATCTTCAACCCAGTCAGTACTGTGTAATTCTGGTCCTCTGTATCCCACACCTCTGTTTATAAATCATCATCGTTCCCTGCCTACATTTATTGATTATCTGTCCGCTTCCATGACACCCCGTGTACAGAAGTTGACATTCCAAGAAAATGGCTCATCCATATTCAATGAAAACTTGCTTCAAGTTGTCAACAAGGCGTTGCCATACAAATTCACGAAGGCTCAGTGGACAACCACCACAGATTGCCCTCCCCTCCACTCACCAACTGCAAAAAACCAGCCCTGATTGTTACTTAAAGACCGTTTTGATGTTGATTTCTAGGTTGACCCCAAGGAGCAACTGAAGAACATCGGCAAGGTGCGCATTGTGCGGTACAATTACGTCCCAGAGTTTGCCGAGCAGGCGGGCCTGCCGGAGTGTGACCAGGTGGAGACGGGTGTCATCGCCCAGGAGGTGCAGGACGTCATTCCGGACGCCGTCACCGAGACAGGTACACTAAAAAGTGTGGGACTCAAATATTCAACAAGCATGCTGTTTACTGCAAGCACCGTGACAGGCGTGTTTGCTACTTACTGTGGGCGAACATCAAAGGTGGAAGAACACTTCTATGCAAAGTGTGCATTCTAGTTTAATGTCCTTTATTGTTGATACTTGGACAAGTAGGCAGAGCTGTCTTCAGTGTTTATCCATAAAAATGAAATGTCTTTTTTGCTGAGACTGAGATACATACAATGTAAGACTGAGGACTTGCGAAAGATTTAAGAGGACGTGTGATTACTTTTGAAGCATTTGTGAGGACATGTGAAGTATTTGTGTGGACATGAAGAATTTGATTGGATTTGTGAGGATTTCAGAAGCATTTGTAAGGACTTGTAAAACATTTCTGAGGACTTGTAAAGCATCTCTGAGGACTTGTAAAGCATCTCTGAGGACTTGTAATGCATTTCTGAGGACTTCAGAAGCATTTGTCAGGACTCGTAAAGCATTTATGAGGAGGTATGTAGTATGTATCATTTCTAGCCGTAGCCAGGTAATTCGGACACAGCTTAGTTCTGTGACTCAACATCTCTTTGACATTGTCTCCCAATACCCAGGTGATGTCTACCTCCCCAATGGCAGCAGCATCGACAACTTCCTGACGGTCAACAAGGACCGCATCTACATGGAGAACGTGGGGGCGGTCAAGGAGCTGTGCCGGCTGACTGACAACCTGGAGACCCGCATTGACGAGCTAGAGAAGATGAACCGTCGTCTGGCCAAGCTGAAGCGGCTGGACAGCCTGAAGTCCACCTCTAGCGGCGGCACATTCAGGTAAGGTTCCCAGGCCGAGGAGTACCGAAGCGTGACGTCATTCGAACCAGGATGTTGTAGTGCAAACGATTAGAGGGCGGGTGTGTGTTGGTTCGGGCGCTGGGTGTCGCGCTGATGCCTTTGACACACATAATTGTGCCCGGTGTGTTCACTTTGGTACTCTGTAAAAGTCACTTGGAGGGGGATCTGGAGGGAGATTGGACAAGGAAGCTGTGCAGGGGTGGGCGGGGGAATTGGCATATCTTGGGGGAGGGGCTAAGATAAACGTCTATTTTCCCTATGGATAATCAGCTGCAAGTCAAGTCTACCTCCGTATGGGTAAACCGTTGGATTTCAATTGCCAGACAGCGAGGCGCAAGTCAAAGTCCAGTTGTAAGACTTTTGGTTGGGAGGGTTAGGATGTTATAGAAAACCCTGGCCAAATGGGAGGGGGGGATACGGAAGAGACACTCAAGAATGGGAGGGACCCCCACCCAAGATGTTGAGTTGGAACGTCGGGAAAGTGAGCCAGCCTGTTCGTGCTGTTTCTTTGTAGTCGCTCGGGCAGCAATCGTTCCGGCGTGGGCTACAGCAAAGGCCAGCGCAAGGACACCCGGGGGGACAGCTGCAAACGCCGAGCACAGGAAGAGGATGCCTGCCTGACGCAGCGAACCATGCGCATCATCATTGTCATCCTCGTCTTCATCATGCTCTTCTGGTGAGCAGACCCGGTGTCCTGTGAAACTGTGGACCCCCCTGGAAATTGTACCCCTTTTTCTCTCTTAACACGCCAATAAGTCCAGATTTCAGGCTCCATTGGTTTTGATGGAAACTCCACTCTCTGGAGAGGAAGTCGAGAGATAAAGGGCTTGATTTTTTGTTATCCTTGCGGAGTCTCCCCCAAGCTCAAATGTTGACGAGGGGAATGTTATCAGTGAACAAGCGGAAAAGAAGAAATGGAAACGGCAGCAGAAACAAAATACAAAAAAGAGTAAAAAAAAAACAGGAAAATGAAAACGGAAAACAAAATTGTACAAATGTAAACCCCAAGAACATTTGAGTTGAATGAGAAAAACTAAACCTGAAGAGGACATTACGGTCCAGACCCTCTCGTCAGGTGCACATTTCTGGGTTGAAGGAGAGACCTGTTAATGTCTTGATTGTTTTAACTGATTTAATTACCCCGATTTTTTTTTTTTTTGGCAGCATTGGTTCCATGGTTGCACTTTATCTACTTCAGTTGGGGGAAACTGGAAGGTGAGAGGACACATTTTGCTTTGTTTTTTTATTTATCGTTTTTTTTTCACGTTCATCTAAAGCAGTTTGGGTTCCATGCTCATTCTGGCCGCCTAGGGATCAGCTTTGATGGGGTGTGGGTGTGCGTAGACGGGCTAGACATTACTCACCTATGGTGGTGTGCTTACAGTGGTGCTGCGTATTTCATTGAGAGTGTAAGAAGCAAGCACAGCCAAAGGCTTGCTAACCTTGGTGGAGAAATTTGCTTAACCTTGTGACCTAATAATGGAAATGTCGATGCGCAGCTCTGCGCACCTGTGCAGTTTTTGTGCTGATCACAACAACTGCGAAATGTTCACCACAAAATATGCTTACCGTGGAGCAAATTTTCATGCTGAGGGAAGGAAATGGGCCGAACAGTAAGCAACGCCGTGCAATTCGGCCCTGATGCCTTGCCGGTGACTACAGTCTGGCATGAATTCAATTTACTTTAATTTTCGGAATGCAAGCCCCTGGTTTATACGTTGATTCTCGCACCGAATAATGCACCCGTGGCTTTTACGCTAATGCGGCTAATATGCCGACCTGATATTTCTTGCAGCTTATACTCTGTGCGGCCTATATTCCAAAAATTATGGTATTGTTATTTTGGCAATTCCTTCGCGTTTCTTGTTTCCCTTGATAAAGTGTTGTTGTGATTGGTTTGTCCCACAGCGCCACTGCCACAGACCCTTCCCTGTCATCTGGCGCTCCTGCTGGACAGAACAGAACAGCGCAGGACGGTGTCATACTGTCCGATTCCAAGCCTTCGGAATCCTCCGAAGAGGGCCGTAAGTACTTCAGAGTTTCACACCAAAGCCTGATTGTAGCTCACTGCAAACAATATCAACTGCATCCACCGAAAGCTTGTGGATAAATGAAACAGTGAAGATGTGTGCATTTCTGGAATTCACTGCATCCACCAAAAAGCTTGTGGATTGTAGGAATTCACTGCATCCACTGAAAAGCTTGTGGATAAATGAAACAGTGAAGATGTGCGCATTTCTGGAATTCACTGCATCCACCGAAAAGCTTGTGGATTGTAGGAATTCACTGCATCCACTGAAAAGCTTGTGGATAAATGAAACAGTGAAGATGTGCGCATTTCTGGAATTCACTGCATCCACCGAAAAGCTTGTGGATTGTAGGAATTCACTGCATCCACTGAAAAGCTTGTGGATAAATGAAACAGTGAAGATGTGCGCATCGGTAGGAATGATTTCAGGGGGTGACAAATGGAGGCTTCCATTCCATGAGGTAAAGCCTAGTAGATTAGAATATTACATTTTGTGGCCTTGTGAGTTATTCTTTCCACCTCACCAGTGTGAATCCTTTTGTTTTACACTGATCCCTGAAAAAGAGAAACATGAAAAATTCTGAACAGCGGAATAGAGCGTCCTCTTTATCAAGGGACGGAACGTCTGTTAATGTGATGCAGCCCCGCTGTGTGTTGATGGCATGTGATCAGTGGCCCACCGATCAGGTGGTGGGGATATACTTGGGCAGTGTCATGAAACCTTAACCAGCTGTGGACCATTTCAACGGAGTGGAAGAAGTGGCTGTAGAAATTGTGGCCTCTGATGTTAATTCCCGTGGTGGTTAGGGCTGTGCTGGATATCTGAATATTCGATTGCATGGAAGGTAGAATATTCAGATATTCTATTATCCCGGTTGACCCAGCCCTAATGTTGCTGCCAGTCACAGCCACGATTTAGGGTGCAGCTACGCACAATAAATTGCCCACCCGCCCACAAAAAAAGTCATTTGCAACTTAAATTTGAATAGAGTCTGGTAGACTGAGTACTTTCAGTTCACTTGAACATAACAATTTGAATTCTCCCGACTAAAAACACTTGCTATACCTCGTGATTCGGGGCGAGCTTTTGCTTTCTTACATAAGAGACGTCTTGCATCAATACACAGTTTTGAATGGATGAGAAGGGCACAGAGGAACCAGTCCATTCCAGAGATGGTGGTTGCTATGCCAAAGCTTGCCCCGAATCACGAGGTATCGCAACTGTGTCTTTAGTCTGGGGAATTCAAATCGTAATGTTTTTGTGTGAAATCAGATAACACAGTGTACCAGCTTTTGTTCAAATTGACTCGCCAGTGGCCCTTTATATTGAGTACGTTACATCTGCTTGTTCCTTGCAGCTGTTGATGACACGTCTCTTGAATCCCAGGGGCATGATGATGATTGTAGCGCCCCCAGCTGTCCACAGTTGTACTGCTGCAACTTCCCATCACCCCTGGAACGGTCTGAATATGGACTTTCTGAATATTGTGAGTAACTCCTCTCTCGCATTGACATTGAACCCCCCCGTCCTGTCTTCACATTGACCCCTTCTGTGTTCACATTGACCCCTTCTGTGTTCACATTGACCCCATCTGTGTACACATTGACCCCTTCTGTGTACACATTGACCCCATCTGTGTTCACATTGACCCCATCTGTGTTCACATTGACCCCATCTGTGTA